AGAGAGAGAGGTTTTAAATAATTTTTATTTTATTGATTAAAAATTAACTGAATTAAGAAAATGTTTGAAAAGTTTAAGTTTTCATTCATTTAAAGTGAGATAAGAAGTCGTCTCATGAATGCCATACGAGTGCAGCAAATGCTATGAGTTTTGCAATTGTTTTATTCAACACTCATCAAAACAATTATATATCCGACGAATCAAAATAGAAGTCAATTCTTGAGCTGTCGATCCAAATGTCTTCATCGATGCCATAGTTTTACTCCATTTATTACAAGACCTTTATTTCTTCCTTTCATCTCATATTCAAATCAATTATAAAAACAATTATTTTTGTCAAATGTATTGAAATTACAAAACAAATGAATAATTTGTTTGAAAAGAATTTATTATCCATTTAATGATAACTCTCTTTACAACACATATTGTTATTCATATGACTAATAAACGGTTCATTCAAATAACTCAACAATCGTTTCAATTGAACTGAAAATTTATTCATTTATGTCATATAAATGTAAATATATTTATATTTATAGCACATAATAATAATCATAACTCATTTAATTTGTATACAAATAAAAATGCATTTAAAAAAACCAAATCTCATAAACTAATCATAATTTCTAACGATTCTCATAATATGTCCATTTGTTTGACCAAAAAGTTTGTTTGCAATTCATTTATGTCTGTATTTGTTGGCTACGAATAATGTGTTTGTATTTTTCAATTCATTTATTTGTATTAACAAGGTTTGACACTTTTTTATGTAATGTTTTATATGATATAATAATAATATATCTGAAGGAAGTCTACCAACAAATACCATAATATATATGTATTGTCTGAATATCACGGAATCATTCAATGAATTAAACATTTTCTGAAATGACATTAAATGCTAAGCAGTTATGTATTGCACTAATGAGTCGATTATCAATAACTGCCATTCAGTGGTAGACTAGCATTCAGTGGTGTTTGTGGTCTCAAGACTTGAGTTTAGCTCTCATGAGGTCTGCTCTCAGATGTCAATACATTCACTGATTAAACAATTTCTCCTAAATTTAGATTTGTTTACAATTTTATCAATATTTGCGAGTCTATTGTCGTATCGATAATAGTTAACCGGTTTTTATTGTATTGCAATTCTCATAGAATTTAAAGTTTGGGTGATTTTCAAAAGTTTTTACATTTAAACTCAACATAAAGTTTTGTATTTTAAAAATAATTACAACTAGTATTTGTAATATAATTGATATATTGTTTGTATGAATTGGAAATCTGTGTTCATTTTGTTCACAATTAGTTGATATGGTGTCCGAAAAGTTTGACTCAAATATTATATTATTAATCGCTGTAAATATGAATACAATGAATGGTCTGATGTTATATCGATTTGTAAAACAATTTGTCACTAAAATCGCGAATAACGGGAGAGAAGAGTATAATTAATTGAATAATTGCTATAATTATATACAAATGCATTGATTAGAAATCAATTGAATGAACGGTTAGTTGAGAGCCAACTCTCGGGAGGTGTGTTCGTGGGTCGGGAGGGACTGGATGTTAGTCGACTCGTTAGTATGTGATGAACAGTAATACTTCTTATGAGCTATAAAAGAGGCCAAATAGTTGAATGATATGTCACACGAGCGACAGTACTTCGGACCGACCTTCTTGTTGGCCCCGACCCCCACCCCCACCCCCACGGCCGCCACCGACGGGTTCACTGGCATGGACTGGGAGTTCACCAAAATGTTGTTCAGAGGCGAACCCGACTTCTTGTTGGGCGACGACTTGGACGACACGACCAGAGGTATGGCTTTCAGCGGCTCTTCCGATTGTTCGTCGCTGTGATGGTCGCTGACCGACAGCGCCGACTGATGACTGTTCTCCTCGTTGTCGGTGAACTCCCGCTTCACGCGGTCGGCCGGCAGTGAGGCTGTCGTCGAAGAGGGCGAGTGTTGGGACGACGAGTGGTGGACGAGATCCTTGTGCACGAGCTTCACGTGTCGGACGACATTCCCCTTATAAGTAGACGAATAGTAGCAGAACTGGCAGTTGTGGGTCATCTCGTTCTGGTTGACCACCGATTTGTCGCCATTCTTCAGCTCAGCCCTCGCATCCGTGTCCGTACAGCTCACGGCTCCCGTGTCCTCCGTCTCCGAGAGCCGGGTGTCGACGCTCGAGGCGACCGACGCGTTGCTGGCCTGCGATTGGGAGCCAATGGGCACACAGTTGTTGACTACCGGTTCCACACTTCGGCGCCGTCGCGATCCGCCCACTCCTCTGGCGCTGCGGTTAGGGATGTCATCGATGCACGCGATGAACGACTCTTCGGACACACCGTGAAGTTTGTCTGAATGGATGCGCACATGGGTTCGCATCCCTCGCAGGGTATGGCCCTTATAGCCACATATCGTGCATTTGAAGCACTGCATCGTTAGGGCACCGGATGATAGGGAACTGGAGTTGTGTTTGTGAGTGGAGTGCGAGTTGTAGTGCACGGCATCGGAACACACGTGCGATAGGAGTGTCTCTTCGTTAACGTAAGTGGCCTTACATTTAGTGCAATGAAAGTCTGCCATCAGTTCACTACTGGCCGGCAGTGTGTAGTCGGCGGCCGATCCTTCACTCAGAGTGTCGGTGCTGTTGGCGGCGCCGGGAATGACACTGCGTTTGAGGCAGTAGTAGGTTTGGTGCGCCTGGAGGTTGTCGAGTGACGTGAATTTGATACCACAGGCGACACAATAGAACTGAAATACAGGCGGCTGTGGGTTAGGAGGGGAGGGGACGGGCGATGAAGTGGTGGTCGAACGGGCGGGTGAGGTGTGAATGTTGGCGTTGAAGGAATGGGAGGTCGACTTCGCGTCGTTCGTCAACTCTGGCGACGAGTTGTGCGACTCGTCGGCCATATGTTCGGGTGAACTACCGGTGCTGTCCATCCGTCTGGACGCGCAATACAGGCGTTTGTGAACCAAATAGTTCTCGTGTTTATAGAAAACAATATTACATTCATTGCATCGACTCTTCCCCTGTTTCACGACCACATCCACAGCCGGCAAACCACTCGACCCACCCGTCAGTGTCTGCGGAATCAGTTGAGACAACTCCGACGGGTTGGCCAACGGTGTGGGCGAACACGTGGACCGAGTGTTGCACTCATCCATCGACTCCGTGTCCACCAGTTTCTGATATTTCAAGCGTTTAGAGCCGTTGTCTTCAGTGGTCTGTTGTCTGCCTTTGCTTTGCTTTGCACTCAAATCTAAGGGCAGTTCCTCTGAGGACTGGCTGTTGGACTTTACGGGAGAAGACGTGGCCTTCGGCTGTCGTGTCTTCTGGTTGTGGGCTTCCGATGGACTCATGTTTGCCATCATTGAGGTGTTGAGCGAAGAGATTAAGTGATTGGCGGACAAGACATCAGTGGGTACTGTGAATGGCGTTCCCATTGACGTAATGTTGGGGAGACTGAGACCGCCGGCGCTCGGATTGTAAGCACAGGGAACTAATATCAACGGATTGGTAGATATGGCGATATAGACGGTCTGACTTAGAAGAGAGGCGGCGTTCGCACCGGCACTCACGGCTCCGGTAGCCAGGGATGGCATAATGAATGGCATACTATTGAGGGGTTGAATGAGTTTAGGAAAGTTTGGGTGAGTGTTGGGGGTGAGTGTGTGTGCGGTCGCACCGGCAGTCGGGAAGCCCTCGCTTTCGCTATTATGAGATCGTTTACGTGTCGGTGCGCTTGTGGTGGCCATCGGTGCCGATGGAGACGAATACTTGGAGTTATGTCTGGAACCACAGTACAGCTCTTTGTGGACCTGTTATGGTGATCACAAACTGGGGTTTAGTCGTGCATTCAATACAATGCGAGTCTTGTGTTTGTTATTGAATTTCTTTCATGAGTCTCTCTTTGATATCTCATTAAGTTTTAAATAAATTTATATTTATATATAAATAGAGACTGTTTTGAGCGATAAAACTGTTATTTAAAGAGATAACGATATTTCACTTCTGATTATTCACTCCTAATATCTTTGTATATGACGTCCGGAAATGAGAAAATTTGTGAAAAACTTCTTATTTGACAAAAACTTCATTAAAATTTGGCTCATTTTTCGTGCTCTGCTATCAGTGTTAAGCCTCTCATTGAATGCTACAGTATTATAACAGTAAGTCTCATGAATTTGTTTTAATCAGATATTCATTACTGAATTCATATCTATTGGATATCTCTATAATTAAAGTATTTTTCATAATTAACATAAAAAAATCTTAACCAGACTTTTATGTCTTTCATTAATCAGTGAAATATGGTTTTTAATCAATTCATAGCTAATTCACGAATGAATCTATAAAAATGACAAAACCGTACATTTTGTATACAATTCTTGTCTTTGAATTTCAAATACACTGTAAGCGAGAGATAAATAGAGAGAAAATCTGATAAATAATATTATAAATAATATTGGGTTTAGTTATGATAATAACTCAAACTTCTATAGGAATTATGTGAATACATTAGTGAATATACGGTATAAATTGCACATAAATTGTCACTTTTAGCTATTATAATATCTAATCTTAAAACTATATCTAAATGTTTAAATTGTGACCTTTTTTCCCAAAAGCTTACACTCAATGCAATCTAATCGACACAAACTTCTATACATTATTGAGTTAAGACAACAACTAAACAGACGTTTGAACCGAAGGATTAATCACTGATTTGACTCATAAACTGAAGAATAATTGATTTATTTATCACAAGAAACGAGTGACAGAAATGCTGTGTTTTATTTGAAATCATAAATACATTCATTGATGGATCGATTGATACCTTATAAGTCTTGTATGAATTGAATTGAATGTCACAATTAGTACAGTATCTGTCCTGAGGTGCGGACGAGTGGTGGTACTCGTTGTCATCGCTCTCATCAGTAGTGGTCATAGCAGTGGTGATGTTGTTGTTGTTATGGAGGGCGGGGAGGGGTAGGGATGACTGGTGTCCGGGTGGCAGTGGGAGCGAGGGATGGCATGACTTGATGTGCTTCAAGAGGAGTGCCTTCTTATCGGTGGCATAAGTGGTGCATGTCTTACAACTGTAAACATTTCCAGTTTTGCTATATTTGGCACCAATAATACCAGTGCCCAGCACTTTGCCACCGATGCCCATCGCATCGCTATCACTGGTATGCAGAGCGGGGGTCAGGCGCTGAGGAGGCGACCCGTGAGAGTCAGAGTCACGGCGCAGGACTCGCGGCTTATCTTTGTCTGAGTGCTCGTCCTCTGACTGCAGCTCACTATCGGTCACATGTTGTCTGCCATTCATATGTCTCACTAGTACTGTCCCATCACTGGCTTTGGGCTCCGAGTGCTGACTGTGGGTCACATCCGGTCTCTGTTTGCGGTGATTATCTTCGGGCGATGAGGACTCAGTCGCTTCTGATCACAAAAATAAGATTACGTTTTGAGAAAACTAAATGAAGTAATCATTTGACACAAACATAAAAATATAATCAATTCATTGAATAAGAAAATAAATATCAGAAAAAAAGTTTTTCCGATAAAATTGTCTTTCGCTGAACGCAAATATATATATAGTTTTATGACTCCCTTCGAGAGAACCTGTTTTAAGAGTCCTAATAGGACTGTCCTATCGCTGGCAATCAAATCAGACTAAATATAAAAATCCTAAAAACGCACTCAAATCCCATCGCAAGGCGTATAACAAACAACCTATCGGTAGATCACATCACTTCTCATCCAAATATATGAATGTTATCTCAAAGTTTTCAATACATTTAACAAATAAACTATTCATTTAATATATTATATATAAATACGAATATAAATCAAAATCTAAAAAAGTTTTTTCTGTACAAAAACGGAATGGACTGTAAGAGTGGATATGATAGGGCCGTGCAATACGTACCACCACTTTCATGACTTGACGTATCATTTGTATAAATCGATGCATTTCTCTGATTAGGACCGCTATCTCCGACACTTATTATACTATTCGTGTGATCCCTGAGCCGAACCCCACCCTTGGATGCCTTTTGTGTCCAAACGCTGTGGCCTTTGGTTTCGTTTCTTGAGTTCGTATTGTTTGGACGATTCACACAATAATAGGTCTGATGAGCGCTCAACGTATCTATAGATTGGTTCCCAATCCACACAAAAACATAATAATAATAATAATCCAAAATTAGATATGATTTTCAGACATTTAGCCATGAATTTTATATGAGATGTGAGACAAGTTATCAATAGATAAGACTTAAAAGATTCATACTATTAGTGCATAACGTTTTATGAAAGGATTAGAAAATTGAATAAAATATTAGGAAATATATGACAGCGAATAGCACTCGGATTAAAGTGTTATCTTCAAAATGAATGTTATATTCAAATGATATGTTTTTGGAAACTCATTTTTTATTCAATGGATTTAGCCATACACAATTTGTACATGTCTATCATAAAATTGTTTGAATTAGTTACTCTTAAATCTTAAACTTTTTAAAAATTATTATAAGTGATTTATAATTAGCGTTTTCCACTTATTCACACACAATTATCATTTGTAAATATTTTTAATATTTAGGTATAAATTAATTAAATTTATCTTTTTTACAAGCTGTTAAGCATCGGACGAATCACTTTATAGATTGACACAAATTGTAAAGACTTTTGTTTATAACATATAATGCAATGAATGGTTGATAAACAATTTTATGACTTGAATTGAGTTTAATTTTTTTGGG